TTTGGTTATTTAATTTACCAAAGGTAATTGAAGCAGATATTTATGAAGTCATTGGGAGGTGAACTATCTCCAATTCAACAGGTTAATCATTAATATTTGGAGGATTTTCTTGCCATGCTGTATTGGGAGGAGAACATCACCAGACAGACATTTAAATTGTTTTATTTAACTAAAACAACAACGTTATATATTCTGGTATTTTTTTTTCTTCAACAGCAAACATATAATATTTTAACAAAACAAGCATATGAATTTTTGAGTTTAGTTAAACATTCAAGTATTTTTAAAAACCTAGGTTTTTTTTGTTAAAATTGTTTTTAACTAAAATAGTTAAATGAATTTTAAAAAACAAACAAACTAAATTGACTGTGTCAGCCTGGTCAACATGAGAAACTTAAAATATTGGCTTCTGCAGCTACCTCAGTCCTCTTCACCTTCATTTTCCTATTTGTTCGTAATCTGGAAAAGAAAAACAAGCTTTCCTGCTTTTTCAGGTCCCAAACGACTTCTCAATTTGGAATGAATTAGTCCAAAGGAAGAAAATATTCTTTCTACACTGGCAGAAGAAGCTACTGCTGTTAAAAGTGAGATTATCACTTCAACAGTCTCCGAATCCAAGTGCTTAAATGACTTCCACCAATTCACTGGCGTGACTGTCTTTAAAACATCATCAGCAAACAGATATTTCTTGAATGGTTCTTATTCCCAAACTGGGTCTCCTTTACAGCCTGCTGCCATTATAGGTTTTCCCTTCTAGTGAGAGAATGGTATGGTAGATCTCAAATCAATGAAGACTGCACTCAGAAAGACCTCAAGACTTCTGGCATATGCTGCTCAAACAGTTTCACTTTTGTTTCTACTGCCTGTCCCTCCCTTCTCCAGACTTCTTCTCCTTGTCCAGATCTATTCCGCCCCCTACAATCTTCTATTCATTGAACTTTTTGAAATTTTGCACTTTTAGACAGCAGTAAGGGATTGACTCTGTGTACACAAATTTGCAGAGGAACAATAGGATTGAGGTCTGTTATTTCTCATCTCTGTTTATTATTTATTTAATTTATTTAAAAACATTTTTTCTGTTAACAAGCATGTTATCTCTGGAGACACAAATCCACAGTTTGAGAACTGCAAAACTAAGCATCTCTGATAGTATCTTCTAGACTGAGCAGTGAGTCCCATTGGGTAGATAGAAAGATTAACCTAAATAATCTATACAGAAGACCCTGGAGCCCCATAAAATTGGGGCCCTAATCCATGAACTATTGGAACGCATTTACAAAACTTTTCTGAAACATTACATGAATATATTGTCTCATGCTATAGAATTAGAATTTATAATCCCTATTCTGTGATGAGATATCTTTGAGCTATAATGTGTCGTAATTAAAACTATCTTTAGATAGGTTTTTTCCTTAAAAAGCATTTTATCAAAAAAATCCTATTTAAATAAAACAAAATCATTGATTTTTTTTTTTATCCATCCTGTAGCTGAGGAGTCCTAGCCATGCAACCCACCAGAATTCTTGTAGCATTTCAGTTGAAAGTACCAGATAGATCAGAGGTGGGCAAGCTATGGGCCCATGGGACCCTCCTGCCCAGCCCCTGAGCTCCTGGCCCGGGAGGCTAGCCCCGGCCTCTCCCCTGCTGTTCCCCCTCCCCCGCAACCTCAGCTCAGGGCACTGCTGGCGCAATGCTCTGGGCAGTGAGCTCTTGCCGGGCCGCGCAGCTGCAGAGCCAGCCTGACCCGGTGCTCTGTGCTGTGCGGTGGCGTGGCTTGCTCCAGCCGGGCGGCACGGCTGCCTGTCGTGGTGCTCTGGGTGGCGCAGCTGTAGCGCCACCAGCCACGGTACTCCAGGCAGTGCAGTAAGGGAGCAGGCGAGGTTGGATAGAGGGCGGGGGAGTTTGGGGTGATGGTCAGGGGGCGGGGGTGTGGATAGGGGTCGGGGAGATCAGAGGGCAGGGAACAGGGGTGTTGAATGGGGGCAGTCAGGAATGAGAGGAGGGGTTGGATGGGGCGGTGAGGGGCAGTCAGGGGTGAGGGGTCTGCGGGTGGTCAGTGGACAGGGAGCGGTGGATAGGGCAGGAGTCCCAGGGGGACCATCAGGGGGTGAGAAGCGGGGGGGTTGATAGGGAGCAGGGGCTGGGCCATGCCTGGTTGTTTGTGGAGGCACAGCCTCCCCTAACTGGCCCTCCATACAATTTTGGATACCCGATGTGGTCCTCAGGCCAAAAGGTTTGCCCGCCCCTGAGATAGATTCTGTGTTCTTTCAGTTGCTCTGTCCGTATCTGGATAAAATGGAAGTAGTTAGTGCCCTAAAGGGAAACACTATTGTATGAATTATCTTATGGCTTTCTGTTGTTGGAGATGATTGTGGAAGAGAATGCTTTCAAGTAAGCAGTAAATTATCTCCTACATAAATATTACTTGCAGACTAAAAAGAACGTATTCTGCAGAGGTGCTGAATTAAGTCATTCTTTATGTAGCTATTCAGGGCCAGAAAGTTATTCCCCATCTGTTCCTCTTCCAAATCTGAGATAAGAAAAGTCAGCTTTGTCTCTTGCCCCGACAAATTAAATAGTGTTGATACATACATTCTGATGGCATTTCTCATTTGGACAAATTCTGCTAACTCGTGAGCTGTAAATAATACTTGTTAATTTGAATAGACTAAAATGTTTGCGGATACAGACTAACACGGCTGCTACTCTAAAATGTTATAGTCTCTTAATCAGAACAGCATTCAAAACCAAGGTGTCTGTAGTGTAGGTATTGGAAAATGATTAATCTGAAACACTAGGGAAGAGTTATAAAGCATGAACAGTGTAAACTCCCCAAAAGCAAGAGAAGTCTTACATCTAATTCTTTGGCTGCTGGCCATATTTCCATTCTTTCAGCCAAATGAGTGCACTAGGATTGGAGAATGCCTTATATAGGCAAGAGAATTAAAGTACTTAAGTATCCTATCAAAAAGATTCAGCTAGCTAATCAGAATCCTGGTTATAATCTGCTAGAGAATTGTCATGAGCATGGAGTACTAAGTATCCAAGATTCATAATTTCTTTTCCATTTCCACCAGAAAAATTCTAATCAAAGTCTAGGTCGTCTTTCAGCCCTGTTATTTTAACGCCTCCTCTCTGACTTTGTGATTCTTTCCTCACTCCAGTCTATTCAGAATTCATCTGGTAAAATCATTTTCCCTGCCCACCACCTGGACTACGTCACTCCTATGTTCAAAGCTCTTTACTGGCTACTCATTGTCTTCCACATCTAGTTCAGCCATCTGGTCCTCTCCTGCAAGGCCCTGTATAGTCCCTCCCAGCCATCATAACTACTTATCTTCCCCTCTCATGCACTCTGCACCAGTGACTCCTCCTGAGTAACCATTCTCTTCCTCTTCTCTCATTTTTGTCTTCATGCCTCTTCCCCACTGTCCCTTATGCATGGAACAACCTTACTTGGTCTTGAGAGTCACTTATTCACTCTCTCCCCATCCAAATCTGTCTTTAAAAAACTCACTTCTTTCACAATACCTATTATCTCTAGTTAGTCAGTTGAATCATATTTAATCAAATAATAATTAGCAAGAAATCTGTGGTGCAACCAATTTCTACCTTGCACTTTTAGACCAAAACAACAAAGTACATGTTTATCTTTTAAAACCTTTGGGACTATTCCCTTGCTTTGCTGGATGGGGTCCTGATATGGAAATTGCACCCACAACAGTTCTAGACCCTCCTTTGATTTACCATTGTTGTCTTCACATGGTCTAAAAATTCTATCATTCGTCCTTTGTCTAAGTTAACTTCCTCAAGGCAGGCACCTTATCTTTATAGTTGCTTGTGAAACACTATGCCCACCTATGGTGCTGTATAAAAATGTTCTGCAGAGGTGGCTGAAAAATGTAATTTCCTGCAGACAGTGAAGGAGGTAATGCTCACAGTAACAATGAATTTTTCAGCAGCTGTGTATTGAAGTTCAGATGTAAATAAGGAACAGATAAATGAGAGAGGAAATCCCATTAGTGACTTTATTTATAGTACGTGAAAACTCTGATTGATTACTTTGAGAGCCCAGTGTGTTTGTTCAGTCCTGTAATCTGAGTTATAAAAGATGACTCTTCTTCCCCCTCCCCTCTTTCTAAATAGAATTAGCTCACAGGCTGGACCTATCAAAGTTTTCTTTTTAATATAAAATCTACAGAGCGTGATCTCTCCCTCTGTGGGGTTTACCTAGTGCCTTGCATTCATGGTGGTGCTCTAGTGCAATCCTCTGAAGTAACAAGGCTATCCATTTCTGTTCCAGCAGGTGTGAACAGGATTAAAAGGAGCGTTCTCTATGTATCAGAAAAGACTGCAGCATATTAAAATAATATGCAATATACAGTGATTTCAGAGATATATTCATAAACTACTTTGCATTTTTATTTGAGAAAGCATTTGTGAGGTGTTTGCATTGTATTTATTTACTTCACTTCACCATTTCATCTCATTTTTAACTGCAGGTTTGCCACATACTTCAGACAGAAGTGGAACAATGTCCTATGTTTTTGTAAATGATTCTTCCCAGACAAATGTGCCCCTGTTGCAGGCATGCATTGATGGGGATTTTAACTATTCCAAGCGGCTGCTGGAGAGTGGATTTGACCCAAATATTCGTGACAGTCGTGGCCGAACTGGTCTGCACCTTGCAGCAGCCAGAGGAAATGTAGACATCTGTCAGCTGTTGCACAAATTTGGTGCTGATCTACTGGCCACCGATTACCAAGGTAACACAGCCCTTCACCTGTGTGGGCATGTGGATACTATCCAGTTCCTAGTCTCTAATGGACTCAAAATTGATATTTGGTAAGTTTGTAATCTCTTTTTTGACCACTTTATAGTATATTAGTCTCTCTCAGGAGTATTTTGTACAAATATGTTGCCTGATACAAATGCTTTAATGGTAAATTTAGTGAAATTCAATTTTTTTAAATGCCAGTTATGAAAAAAAAGAAAAACAAATGCATGGGTCCACTCCTAACTGATCATGAACATCATGAAAGGCAATAGAAGCAGGAGCTGTTGGGCTTGGCTGGCATAGCCACTGTCTCTCACTAGCTGATGGCTCTGCTATCCTGGTTTGGCCAGACAGCCAAGAGGGGGTGGATGGCATCACAGAATAATTTAGAGTGATGGGTTTGGTTTTTTTTAGAATTTTCTGTACCACAGTCTTAATGCTTTAATTGACTACTGTAATAAATAAAGAAAATACAGTAAATGTGTATCAGTTCTCCCATACTCTTTGGGAGACCGTGCTGCCTTTCAGTGCTCCCCCTTCCTCAAAGCCAATCCTTCTTTTCAATATTGTATATTCTTTCTTCCTAGCTCCCAGCAGCTGTCAGATGCTAGTGTCCAGACACAAGCACTCAGAATACCAAATAACTAGCTATTTTATTGAGTACAATTAGGTTAGCCAGGGTCACCTTGTTCTCAGAACTTTCTGCACATGCATCCCAGCAGAGGAAAATAGGCAATAAGTTTAGGCCGTTGGGCCTTCTGGTCATCTTTGATTATTGGAGCTGCCCATGATCTCCTCATATCAGCAATATTAATTATTGGCCAGCCCAGGGTCATTGTGTTTTTTCCCTTCCTCCCTTTATCCCAAACACCTGTTTGCTGGCAGCCTCTAATATGAAGGCAACAAATGTACTCCTACTTGGTTCGGTTTTTTCAAAGGTACGGTAGGAGGATTTACCCATCCTGTGTTTCATTTATTGCTTAATATTCTGAGACTCTTATATAGTAAGGAGCTATGAAGAAACTTAGATTTCAAGCAGTAATCATACAAAGCCTTATACACTGATATAAATATGTTGTTAGTTTGTTTATTTTTGTTGCAGGAGCATCCAAAGGCTACAATCAGGATAAGACCCCATTGTACTAGGATTTTTGACTTTGTACCAAGAGTAAAATATTATAGGGTTGTGTGCTTTAAAAATAAACTGTACTTAATTTTTCATACAGTTGTCTTTTATTCTTGGACTTTTTATAACTAAGAATAGTTTACTATCTTGTGTAGCTAGAGACTGGTCCTAAATACTTATTGGTCAGTACATTTTACATTGCATACTTATGCAGATTCATCCTATCTTAGAATTCTCATTTTATAATTTATCTTCCCCCATCCACTTTCTTGGGGGGACTATTTTAGCAATCACCAAGGAGCAACACCACTTGTTCTGGCAAAACGAAGAGGAGTAAATAAGGATGTAATTCGATTGCTGGAGTCTTTGGAGGAGCAGGAGGTGAAAGGATTTAACAGAGGAGCTCCCTCTAAGATGGAAACCATGCAGACTGCAGAAAGTGAAAGGTATTACAAGACAGATGTTTACTAGAAAAAAATAAAACCATGTGTGTAAAGTATATCTTTGTTGGTAAATCCATATTGTTTTCTGCTAGATACATGAGTTGACATGTTTGTTCCTCAAAATGGAACAAAAGATTTATAAAAATTATCTTTAATAAAAACTAAGTTCAATAGAAAAGTGGTTTGTTTTGTTTTTGTTTTTTTAATTTCTAGTGAAAGAAGTTTTTATAACAGCTAAGTATTCCACTACAGGGTTTACAACCCAAATATTGTACCATTTTACTGGTGCAAGATAATCTGAAAATGAAATTCACTAGAAACTGGTTATAAGCAATATCCTGCAGTGTTCTGCTCTAGAAACTAAGTGTATGTCTATACTGCAATTAGACGCCTGCAACTGGCCCATGCCAGCTGACTTGGGCTCCCGGGGCTGGGGCTAAGAGGCTGTTTAACTGCAGTGTAGACATTCGGGCTGGAGCCTGAGCTTTGGGACTTTTTCCCTCACAGGGTCCCAGAGCCTGAGCTCCAGCCTGAGCCCAAACATGTGTTACCCCATATGTTAAAAACAAGCCTACTCAGTTTACATTTTATATCATTAAAATTTTACAAGATTCTAAAAGGGATTGGACATTTATATGGATAAGATGAATATCCAGAGTTAGAACAATTACTGCTAAAAATTTTGGAAGAAATGTTAATCTCATGAGTCAGGGGTTAAACTAATCTCTAACAATTAGGGAGAGACCTAATGTGGAGGAGAGATTATCTCACATCTGCCTGTTCTGGGGTTTCTTGCATCTTCCTCTGAAGCATCTAGTGCTGGCCACTGTTACAGACAGGACACTGGACTAGACAGATCACATTCTGATCCAGTATGGCAAGTCCTATGTTTCTTATGGGAGTTTTACCATTAACTTTAATGGGGCTTGGATTTAGCTGTGAATTTGAACTGATAATGTCCCTTTAAAACCTGTAACTTCCTTTCCCTTTTGTGACCATCATTAATGTTCTCTTGTTTGATTTGGCAGGGAAACCTATAACTTGTCTTTTGAAATTACAGATTTACAGTTTACTCCCAGTTTGTTTGTGAGCTAGTTTAAAATATCTGAAGTATCTCCTTTTGTAAGATAACTTTGTATAATAAAAATAGATCCAGACAGCATTAGAAGCAAATGAATGGACATGTGCTTTGTAATTAAATAATTTGTGTCCTTGTAAGAGCACTATTTGGGGGTTGGCTTTTCAGACCTCTAGTTTCACTCCTACCTCTTGGTATTATTTCCTGATTCTAGAGACTCTCAGAATAGAATCCCTACTTGTTTCTCTCCTCCCTCATTCCCACTATGCATGAAGCCAAGCGAGGATAATTGCTGTTCCCTCTGGAGATCCTGAACTTCACTTTTGAACTGACAGGAGAAGTTTCTAGAGATAGTGCAAAAGTGTTCGCTCCCTTCCTGGATGAGTTTAATGCCACCTCCTCCTCATTACACTCACTTGCTTCTGACTCATGAGCAAAGTACAAAACAAAACTAGGTTCCCAAATCAGATTTCTTCTCTTTTCCTTCTCTCCCCCGTGTGGTATCATATTGTGCTATGTCTGCGCAGAACACTCCCTCTCTATTTTCACATAGAGAATCTGCTTGTATGCATAGACCTAGTGACCTTTCACTATAACAGGAAGCAACATTGAATGGTTTTGTTAGAAGCAAAATGAACATTTAAGGATTTGTCACTTACAGATTTTTCCAGAATAGTTTTATAGAGGCAATTGCTGCTTTATTACTGTTGCTTTTAATTTGGTTGCAATAGAAAATGCCATAGGGGTCGTCTTTGAGATGAGTGAGAACCTTTGGTTTTATTGTGGTAGTTTTCTTAACAATGAACATATGACCTCTTTTTTTTTTTTCCCCAGATTGCAGCGTACCTTTATTTAACCCCTGGAGTGATTATGTATTAACTAGTTGGTGCTTAAGTAGTGAGCAGATCTATTCTATGCCAACAGATGTCTTCTAATAAACCCTCTCACTTTGTTAGGAAATGATAATAAGCAGGGAAGATGACTAACTCCTGTAGTTATGGGCAAACCACCATAGCTTCGCAGCCAAGTAAATATTTAAAAACCAAAAAACACAAAGCACTTTACTGGAAATGCCTGAAAATTTCTGCACACGACACAGTAATAGTTCAGTAAATTACTGGAGCTTTGTCTAATTATTATTCAGTAGTTGTACTTCATAATGAGGAAAAATGTCACAAGAATAACATCAATGTTAATCAGGAGTGTATTTTTAGAAAAAAGGTTTACAAATGAATCTTCCTTCTAGGCATGTGTTACTGGCATCTTTAGTCATATCAGAAGCAAGAGCATTTAAACGGATAGTGTTAACTCACAATTTACTTTTATCTGAAATATTTTGCTCCTATTATTATTACAGGATACGCCTACGATTACTGTAATTGAAGAGATATTGGGGGAGGGGGAATCTGTTTTTGCTCAGTATATTTTATGCCTTAACATCACTGTCTACATAGCTAGTTTGATTGTTTCTCTCGATACACAGTAAGAGCCTGATTCTGCAAATGCTTATGCTCATACGTAACTTTGCTCATCTGGGAAGTGGTGGGACTACTCAAATGAGTAAAATTACAGACCTGCATAAGTGTGTGATCAAGACTTTAGTCAGTTCTTTTGCTGTTTGTGTGGTTCCTTCCAGGGCTTTGGAGCGGAGCCGGAGCTGGAGCGCAGAGCAGCTCCAGAGCAGTGAAGCTGCAGGTTTTTGCCTGGAGCTGGAGCGGAGCCGGAGCACAGCTCCAAAGCCCTGGTTTCTTCATACATCAGCCAAGGAAATACATTTGCTTATTTTTCTAAATACTTCTCTGTACCCAAATCAAAGATTCTTTGAAAAGATAGATTATAAAATCATCTGTCTCAAAGGATTGCTTGTCAACTACTGTATGTTGATTTGGTAGGGTCAGGGGAGGGTCCTTTTCTTATATGCTGTTTTGAGATCATGAGTAAGTACTGTAAATCTGAAAATGTTTAAATTTGAATATTTTAGTTGTATTAGCAGGTTTACTCTTATACTTAAGGATGCATTCTTTTACTTGATGTGTTTATAACTTTAATCCTTCACAGTGCAATGGAAAGCCATTCCCTCCTTAATCCGAACCTGCAGCAAGGTGAAGGGGTTCTTTCCAGCTTCCGCACAACATGGCAAGAGTTTGTGGAGGACCTGGGCTTCTGGAGGGTGCTACTCCTGATCATTGTCATTGCCCTTCTCTCTCTCGGAATCGCATACTACGTTAGTGGGGTGCTTCCTTTTGTGGAAAATCAGCCTGAATTGGTGCATTAAAGCAAATGAAAAGAGGCACAACGTTCTTTTCCTGAGTTCTAATCTTTGTTTTGAGCTTCTTATAATTCTTGGTGCAGCTGTATATACTGTTTGTCTTTTATATGTACTGCTAACCCTTTTGGAAGAGAGCTGCATTAACTTCTGCCAACACTACCAAATTCTAAAGAATTCCTAGGCTACCTCTGACATGTCTTGACTTCTAATCAAAACTTATAGATAGCAGTCTTTATTGATCAAATGTGGTGATCATAAAAGGCCCTTCATAAATAAATAGCAAATCCTTGAGCATGTAAAAATGTGTCCTGCTACAGGACCAAATCATCTTGTTTTCCATTATTTTTTAAAAAAAAAACCTACTTTCCCTATGCTTCAGCTTTTGAGGAGGAGTATTCTTATAAAAAGCTACCTAGATTGAACTGGAATAATTTTAATCTATTCTGATATTTACATCATACAATACTGTAAATGTGCCGTTTTCTTAGTGCACTCAACATGTTCATGTGTATGGTTAGAAACTACATATGCATTTAAAGAATGAGAAACATTTCAAATTTTATAACTTCGTTAAACTTTCTTTGACATCCTTGTATTTATGTATTGGCTTAATATAACATAGGGTTTTTTTCCAGTTAGTGTGGTGGTGGTAAAATTTGTGCGAGAATAAATCCTTTGAAGTGAAATTGTCTGTAGTGCTTTTGGATGCAAACATCTTTAAGCATTTGACTTCAAAATGCAACTTTTTCATTTGAAATACCTTTAAGGAAACATTTTCTTTGTAACCTAAATGAAAAGCGATTTAAACATTTTTTCTGTGTTGCTGTGAAACGTGTCATGCAGGATAACTGAGTGTTTTCACAGAAACTACAGAAAACAATATGTTCATTTCATTTGCAGTTTTGTGCAAGGGTTTAATTGGGATATATTTTTGGTAATATTGCTATCAGTTTCAACTATTTTCAAATGACACTCAAAAGCTGATGAGGCACTTTCTGAGTTAACATAATGCAATGTTGCACTGGGTGTCTTCATATTTGGGAATATTATGTAAATTGAAATCTGGCCCAGAGTGAGGTCTTTGTTGTTGTTAATCTGAAGTTATAATACCTGATGATTTAATACTCTTTTATGGAGACTGGGTAAATATGCAGTAAGGTTGTGATTGTCAAAGGTGCCCAACTCCCACTCAATTTCCATGGCAGTTAGGTACCTAACTCCCTTAGGTTGCTTTGACAATCCCAACTTAAGTGAATTCAGCAAACGTTAATAAAACAGCAAAAGGATTTGTTTTATTAAAATGATCCTAAATCATTGCAAAATAAACTGAACACTTAAAAAGTTAGAAATTACAGTAAATGATAGTGGATATACATACATCTTATTATTGTGTTAATATATATTTGTTGTCTCTAGTTTGTGGTCATTGACTGAGGAGGCATCTTGTCTTTGTGATGTTGGGATAGGCTTCACAGAAGCGTTCATTCTAAATTGTTTCTGAAGAATTCTTAGAAGCTATTCTCCCAGATGGTACAAATGCAGCAAAGAAGGAAGTCTCCAAAAACCAACAAAATGAGCTTCTCTTCTAAACAGTTTAATTTGTCGTTTATGTGTTTATGAATAGAGAAACATAAGCTATTATATATAAACTACATTTACTTGTGTAGGTAAGTCCATTTCTGTTAAGAACACCCTGTCTTATATTAAATAATGAAATTTTGCATTATGCACTCTCTGTATAATTTGTAAATGTATTTTGAATGTGGATGAATGCCATAAATAAAGATGTATAAGTAGACAAGTTTATTTTATTACTGTTTTAGAACAGAACTAAATATTTTATTTCATTTTAGTGATTCGGTGTTAATTTCTTTTCCATTTTGCACTGACCACATTGAAACAATGTGTATTAAAAAAGAGGATGTTAAGGGTTGAGGCATGAGGGTTTTGTGATGGTGCAGGGCTGGAGGCCTCCCACTTTAGAAAAATCTAGCTTTAACATATATGGTGTTGGAGAATGATTATTGTTTGGGCTTGCGTGTTTTTTTTCCCTCTTACTGGTGGTGGTTTGGTCAGTTGTTTATATCTCTAATGTCTAATATAGCCACTTTCATCCCAAAGGAATCCAAAGGACTCCTTGAACCTCAATAACTGAACTGAACACCACTGAAATTTAGCCATCTGTGGGGTAGATGGAATCAGCCAGGACAGCTCTGGGCAGAGAGAATGGGGAGGAGAAGTTTTGCCTAAGTGCCCAAGAGCAAACCCCTTCAATGAAGAGGGCAGTTGTATCTTTACTATGTCCACATGCCATGCAGGACTTCAGTTTCTGGGGTCCATTCAAAAGAAGAGACCCCAGACTCTTCTTCCCCCCTCCCCCCCCCACACCCTGCCCCACCCCAGCAAACTGCATGGAACTCAGCTCTCCATCCTTGCAAGGGAGAAGGTTAAGTATAACCTGTTGTACTTGAACCTGTTGTTCCAGGGATCTGGACATTTCATAAGTCCACTCTGGATTTTATATATGTCACTAAGATTTATTATCTACTGGTATTACTGTAGTGCCAAGAGGATCTGGCTGATATTGGGGCCCCATTGTGCCAGGTGCTGTACAGACACCCTATGAGAGTCTGTACCTGCTTTGAAGTGCTTCCAATCTAAATAGACAACATAGAGAGAAAAGTGGGAGGGGAAACACAGGCACAGAGAGATGACGCAATTTGCCCAGTATCATAC